TAGAATGTAAACTATGCAAAATTTACAGAATAAAAATAGTTCACAAAAATTGTGTGGGGGAGAGTATATATGTTCTGATTTCCACATTTCCCATAACAAGAAATTAATAGGAACTATCTAAAATTTTAAAAGGTAGTTTTAAAAAAGGGCCTACTATTGCTATATATTTTTCATAGTCTTTTTCTTGTCTTTTGAAGGATCATTTAGAAGAGAGGAGTCATATTATAAATGTTTAGCTGACTTTCAAAGTTCATTTAGATTCATTTCATTTCCCTTTTTTCCTATACATTCAAGTAAATCTAACTTAATACGTTAAATCTTTAAAATAGCATGACTAACATTCATTCTGAAAAACTATACATGCAAGTGTATATGTAAAATGGTCAAGTAAAATGGTTGAGAATCTGACTTCTTGAATCATATTGCTAGTGTGACCCTGGGAAGGTTACTTACCTTTCTGTGAGTTTGCCTGTAAAATGAGATTGATAGTCCCACATTTATTGTTTACAGTTAACTCACATAAAGCTCTTGATACAGGGCTCAACTGGTAGCCACAGTTATCTCTCCTTCCATCTCTTTTATTTACAAAGATGTTATTAATTGTTTCTGAGTGGTGGGATTTGGGGTGATTTTTACCTTTTTCACATTGTTCTATATTGCTTGATTCCTTTTTTACAATGAATAACACAAAGCTGTCCCTTAAAAAATAAAGTAAAAATTACAAATTTTAGTTGTACCGTCACTTCTTTTGCAACTGAAATCTCAATTGTGGAGCCTGAAAATCTTTATTTTTATTTTTTATTTTATTTTATTTTTTTGAAAATCTTTATTTTTAAAATGCTCCTCAAATGATTCTGATTTTATATTGGGTTTGGAAAACATTTAATATTGAGAACTTTCCTCCACTTAATTTTAATTAATATATTAGAAGCCCCCGGAATGTGCAACTTAGTCATACAGTTCTCCAATCTGATCTACTTCAGCACTCTTGTTAAGAATCTGAAGAGTTGGGACGCCTGGGTGGCTCAGTTGGTTAAGCAGCTGCCTTCGGCTCAGGTCATGATCCCAGTGTCCTGGGATCGAGTCCCACATCGGGCTCCTTGCTCAGCAGGGAGCCTGCTTCTCCCTCTGCCTCTGCCTGCCATTCTTGCTCTGTCTGCCTGTGCTTGCTCTCTCTCCCTCTCTCTCTCTCTCTCTGACAAATAAATAAATAAAATCTTTAAAATAAAAAAAAAAAAAGAATCTGAAGAGTTGAGGATGCTGATTTTTGCCAAAACTCAGAGTAAGATTTGGGGTGCATTATACCCATATGAGATGGCTGTTTTATACCAGGAACAAGAAAGAAAAATCAGAGTAAATGGAAATTTAGTCATAAGGCAAGAGTCCTTGAAATTGGAAGGTGATGAGGTAAAAGCAATAGGGATAAGCCAGCACATGTTGGTTGATAATGCTCTGGAGGAGGAGGGTGAGGGGATGGTAGCCATCCAACAGCATCACAAGATACTTCTTAACTAAAAACAAGTTGTTTTAACATCAGGAAGTCAGTTTTCTTCCACTCACCCCAGAACAGGTGTGTTGCTAAAAAGTGCTACCTCAGCTAAGATAACCATAAAATGTCACTGGTTTCCTACAAACACTAAAGCCTCCAGGCTGCAGAAGTAAACTTGTTCTGAAACTCAATGTCTTAGAAAATGGCAGGGTAGCAGGTTAGTTTTCACAGTTACCGGAGCTGGATCACTGCTTACTTGATAGTCACTGTCTTGAAGTCCTTCCCCTTCTCAGTCATTGTGCTTTCTGTGGCTGTTGCTTTCTCCTCTAATGCCAGGAGTAGTAGAGTCTGTAGCAGTGGAGAATTCATTTGGACTGTGCCCTTCTGAGACTGTGAAGTGATTGTATCTGGTACTAAGGTGAGGAAAGTCACAGCAAGAAGAAAATACAGTACAAAAAGAAAATAAGTGTGCTAGAAGGCAGACTGTCAGAGAATCAGAAGATGTGGGAAATTACTTGCAATGTGGCTCCTAGATGATATCTCAGTTTAAGTGTCTGCTAATATTACCTTAATAGCCTCCCTTCAGGTTTATTGCTTCAGTCTTATTCTCTAATCTTTTTACATTTACCATAAGAAAATTGGTGTTATGTTACCTTTCATTCACTTCTCTTGGCTTCAAGTTTGCAGTTTATGGGATTTTCAAATTACCTCTATTGTGGGTAAATTCTTAATAATATACATTGTTATTTTAAAGAATTCCAGATGCTCGAATAGTTCTCTTCAGCTTTTTTTTTCTTATGTAATGATTCAACATTTCTATACATTACTCAGTGCTCATCACAGTAAGTGTATTCTTTATATCCTTTATCTGTTTCACCCATCCCCCACTGGCCTCCTTCTGCCAACCACCAATTCTCTGTATTTAAGACTCTGTTTCTTGTCTCTTTTTTCTGTTTGCTTGTTTTGTTTCTTAAGTTACACATATGGGTGAAACCATATGGTATTTGTCTTTCTCTGAGTTAGGTCTACAGATCTACCCATGTTTTTGGAAAGTTCTCATTCTTTTTTATGACTGAGTAATATTCCTCTGTGTGTGTTTGTGTGTGTGTGTCTCCCACATCTTCATTCATGTACGAATGGATACTTGGGTTACTTTCATATCTTGGCTGTTGTAAATAATGCTGCAATGTACATAGGGGTGCACATATCTTTTAGTATTAGTGTTTTTTATTTTCTTCAGATAAATATCCAGTAGTGTAATTACTGGACCATATAGTAATTCTACTTTTAATTCCTTGAGGACCCTCCATACTGTTTTCCACAGTGGCTGCACCAACAGGTTCCTTTTTCTCCATATCCTCTCCAACACTTGTTATTTATTTCTTGCATTTTTGATTCTGGTCATTCTGACAGGGGTGAGGTGATAGCTCATTGTGGTTTTGACTTGCATTTCCCTGATGATTAATGATGTTTAGCATCTTATCATGTATCTGTGGACTATTTATATGTCTTATTTGGAAAAATATCTCTTTAGGTCCTCTGCCCATTTTTAACGAGATTATATGGGGTTTTTTGATGTGGAGTTGTATAAGTTATTTCTGTATTTCAGATATTAAAAACTCTTTATCAGATTATATCATTTGCAAATGATCTTCAGGGTCTTTAGAGTTTCAAAAGAATCACTTAAACCAGGAGGGATATTTTCCCTGTAATTACAGATTACACCTTTTGGGTGTAAGGATTTCACTAAAAACCAATCTAAATGGGTAAAAGATGACACAGCAAAGGAGAATTTGAGACCCCCTCTCAGGGAAAATAGCAACAAGACTGGGTAATCTTATTTCTGCTTTTCCTCTGGGTAATTTTTTTTTTTTTAAGATTTTATTTATTTATTTGACAGAGAGAGATCACAAGTAGGCAGAGAGGTAGGCAGAGAGAGAGGAAGGGAAGCAGGTTCCCTGCTGAGCAGAGAGCCCGATGCGGGACTCGATCCCAGGACCCCAAGATCATGACCCGAGCCAAAGGCAGCGGCCCAACCCACTGAGCCACCCAGGTGCCCCCTCCTCTGGGTAATTTTATAGGGGATTTCAGTGGGACATATATGCTCTTCACCCATGAAGGCCCACCCTTCTGAACTTTAGAATGTAAGTTAAGATAGAGCAAAGGAAGTAAGTAAACAAGTGCCCGCCAGTTTCATGTGGGTAATTTACATCTCCCATATCACTGAGCAACTTTGCTCACACTCTCTTTCCTTTACTTCAGCTTCCCCCTGGGGTCATCCTTCTCAAACTTGAAGAGAGGGCCTGAGATCTGAGATATAAGATGAGCATGGTGTAGTTCCATGGCATGACAATTTTACTTACAGATTTGAGGATAAATATATTTTTATTAAATAGACATATATTAAACATGTATTAAAAGAGGTAAAGTGAAAGGTCATATGGAGTTTTTTTATAAAAGTTTTTTACTCTAGCAAATATTAACACAAAAAAGTATGTAAATAAAAAATGTAGAGCCTGGTGAATGTCAGGAAAGTTAACTATGTTAAGCCACTAATTTATTCTGATAATTGCTTACTTCCTTTTTTCCATCCTTTTGCTCCTAACTTTCTAATATGTTTAATGTGTGTCTCCTATAAGCAACATGTAGTTGGGTTTATTTTTTTCTCTAGTCTGGTTGGCAATCTTTATCTTTTAATTAGAGTTTTCAGTCTTTTACGTTAACGTCATTGGTAATATATTTACATTAAAATCAATCATATTACTATTTGTTTTCTGTTTATTTCATCTATTCTTTATCCACTGCTCTTTTTTCCTTATCTTGTTTTTGATTATCTTACTCACATTTTCTGTTTTAGTTATATATTCATTAACTGTTTATTTTAATGATTATACTAGCAATTACATTATACATTGTTAGTCTTTTAAAGTCTAGCATTAGTACTTTCACCAGATCTGGACAACAAAATGATTTTAGAACACAAACTCTCTGTGTCCTCCTCACGATTTTTGTTCCGCTTATGTCATTTGTTTTAATGATAATAGTAATAATACCTTGTGGGATATTATGTCATACATATTAATTTATGTGTAATATGTACCATGTAATATAAAAAAGAAAAAAGGTAAATTTAAGTATTTTGACAGCAAAAAAGAAAAAGAACATGGCAAGCAGGCTTGGTTTCACAAAGGATCCTGGTGGGAAATTTTTTTTTTTTTTTACTCTATTTACCCATGCCCCACCGTAACAATGATTTTCTAACTTATTACTCATCTGTTTTATTGAACTGTCCACAGGGTGTGTTTTAGCGGCAACTAAAAGGATGAAAGTTTTAAATACTCTCAGAAATGTTCTTTTATATGGAAGGAAGTAAATTTCCCATATGGTTAAAAGTAATCAACTTTTTGTGTGTGTGTTTTTTGTGTTTCTTTTTTTAAGTTACCAAGTTTTTTACTCATGATATGTATATTGCTTTCTAATTTATAACATCCTGCTAATTTTTTTCTTACAGAAATACACTTTCGGGAAATGGCCTCTAAATCTTGGCTGAATTTTTTAACCTTCCTTTGTGGATCAGCAATTGGATTTGTTTTATGTTCTCAGCTATTTAGTATTTTGTTGGGAGAACAGGGTGATACCCAGCCTAATATTCTTCATAATGATCCTCATGCTAGGCACGCAGATGATAATGGACAAAATCATCTAGAAGGACAGATGAACTTCAATGCAGATTCTAGCCAACATAAAGGTATGGTTCACTTTATTAAGAAGTAAACAGAAACCGTATTTTTCAGTCTGTGTAAGTGTTATGAGAATTGGAAAAAGCTATTTATGTGAATTTTGTTATACACAATATTTTTTTATTAAAATGAGCTTAATTCCCAATATTTAATGACCTTGCTTGGTTTGCCTTGGGAAGGAAATTGCTAACACCCAGATTTATTTAGGGAATAAGATATTAATTTTGAATTTATTTTAAAATAGAGACAGTTCCGAAAATGTAATTTGGGGGAGGGCAAAACTTTTCAGATTAGATTTTTTAAAATTATTTATTTACTCTGCTTTTGTTTTCATGGTTTTTGTGTTTTTAATGTTTTTGCTATTGTTTTGGTCTTAGTTTTTGCTTAGTCTTGTTCTAGAGAAACTCAAGAGGTATATATAAATCCCAATTTATATATATTTTTTCAACTATTTTTCTATTAGTAACTAGTATTAACTAATCTTTTCACCTTTTAAGAGGCATAAAAGACTAGGGAGGTAGAAACTAAGGCTGTGTTATAATGACTTCCATTTTCTCTTACCTTATACCTGTTACCTACCTCTATACCTGATGTTCTCAATTGTGTCCTCTAGGAGCCAACATTTAAAATGTTGGTTTTCTCCAAGTTTCTGTCCCTTGGCTATTTCATTGTATGTGTGATATCATCGATTCCCATAATTTTGATTTCATCTCTTCTTTATTGTCTTTATCTTAGCCCAGTTCCAAACATTGTGAAAAAAAAAACATTAAAGTAATTCAAAGATTTCTGCAAATGTGATTTATTTGATGCTAAAGAATATAGCAGCTTGGAAACAATTGGAATTCTGGGTTACAGAATTGCTTCTTTTATCTTTTGGTAGTAAATTACTTCTTTCTGACCTCTCGAGAAGAAGCTGAGGGATGAAGTGTACCACATACATCCTGGTTGAGTTGTATGAACTAGCAAGCATGTGCATACTGTTACAAATTATGTCATGTTATGTTTAAGTGTTTATATAACTGATCCAGTTCTGAGTAGGTGCTCTGTATTCTTATCAAGAGCAGCTTGATCACTGGACACTTGCTCTGTAGCCTTGCTCTGGATTGCTAAAGGGCTAGTTGGCACATGCTTCTCTGCTAGTAGGCTGTATCAGGTCAGTATAAGCACATATTTTAGGTACCTACTTGTCCGGCTTGATGGTCCACATCTGTTTAAGCTGGAGACTATGAAGTCATGGTAGGTGTTTTCCTTCACTTACCAATCAATCCCATTTATCATAAGTTCCAGCATTCTACTTCTTTACCATTTTTCAGATTTCCTTTCTCAGTTCATTTCCTCTATTTGAGGCCTTCGGTTATACCCATGTACCGGCATTCAACCAAACTTCACCATACCTTTTGTCCTTTCTTATTATGAGCATCTACTCATTTAAAGACCTCTATTTTCTGCATTATCTCTATTTTCCCTGATTTTGCATTATCTCCCCTTCTCTGTTCCAGCCAAGTTCCCATTCCACACTCTTTAGAATTTATCGGCCTCTGCTTTCTTTTTCTGCAGCACATTGAACCCTTTTACATACCTCTGTTATAGTATCTCTCTTAGTGTGTGTCAAGTGCTGGTTTGTGTGCCAAGGTCCACTCTAAGACTGAGTTCTTCTGTAGCAGGACATATGGTATACTCATCTTTTCATCTCTTGTGCCAGCATATGCCTACAACAAAGTAGTTAATCAATGAATAATTACAAAATGAGAAGCAATATTTACCAAATTCCAGCAGTGGGGAGAAGGTTGTCTTGTTCAAAGTGAAACATTGAGAATTCCTGCATCTACCATTTTCCCTATGCATCCAGTATTTAGTTTATCTGTAGCCAAAAGATTGGGCTCCTGAAGTATATGAAATGTGAATGTTCTCTGTCTGGAGGGTGATTCTGTTTTTGAATTGTGAATTATTGATTTTTCAGGGGGACATGAGAATATTTTTGAAAATTCCATGCCCAAGCCTCACCCAACCTTGTATTAGTTCTCTTTTAGTGGACTAGAAATTTATGTCTCCAGTTGTTAATTTTTCACAGGACAAAGCTTTTGTAACTCACTGGTTGACCTTAACTTTAAGGATATGCTTCCTTGGGATTCTGCCTAGAACATTACTATAAAAAGTGTGGTTTTACAGACTTATGCTGGTCCACAGCTATATAGGTATTGAAATTGGGACTCCGCAGTTAGAAACTTTCAGGGTAATTTAACAGAGTAATTTTGCCTAAATCCAAAACTAAGAATTAGAATTTGTATTTTATATTTCTTTTATTAATTTTTCTAGTAATTCATTTTTAGCTTATTTACAAAACGTATAGGTCTCTAACTATTGAAAATAAGAATTGATCCTTCACCAAGCAATGATCTAGGATCTCAAAATTGAACTCTTCCTTTAAACCAGTGGTACTCAGTATATGCTCCTGGTCTGACAATCTGAATTGTTTATTACCAGTCTGCACCCAGATAAGGAGATTGCACCAGGATGTAACTTATTTAAGCTCACTGCTTAGTTAAGTGGACTTTCTTGGAAATATAGCAAGACTTCCCTAATGAAAGAAGTAATATGGTGTTTTATATTCTGGCATGGCTCCCTATTTCTTTTCAGAGGAGTACTTTGAAAAGCATTGCTCTAGACAGTCTTGGAAATACTACTGTTACCTCTTCTGTTCTGTTTCTGACTGATGGATTTGCATTTTGTAATGAAATATGTTACTATCAAAAGTAACCTCAACTCTGCATTAACTTCTCTTCTTCAAACTGCGGTCATCATGAAAGCCTTTTTTAAAATTCTTTTTTTTTTTTAAGATTTTGTTTATTTATTTGACAGACAGAGATCACAAGTAGGCAGAGAGGCAGGCAGAGAGAGAGAAGGGAAGCAGGCTTCCTGCCAAGCAGAGAACCCGACACGGGGCTCAATCCCAGGACCCTGGGACCATGACCTGAGCTGAAGGCAGAGGTTTAACCCACTGAGCCACCCAGACACCCCATGAAAGCCTTTTTTAAAGCCACCTTAGGGTGCTTGTATAGATTCCTAACAGTGAACTCTGGTGGAGTCCAAAATGAACGTTTTTTTCAGCAGCATGTCTTTCCTGTCCTGCAGAAGTTTATTTAGAACTGCAAGAAATTCCTGTCAATGTTCTGTTGAGAACCCTTTGTAGAATGAAGTGAAAAGCAGAGACTAAGACCGTGCTTCATATGTATCCCAATCTCCAATCTCCAAGACAACTTGTTAAAATGCAGATTCAAATTGAGTAGGTCTGGGGTGGGGCCTGAGATGCTGCATTTCCAACAAGCTCCCAAGTGATGCTGATCCTGTTTGGTCAACCACAGTTCAAATAGTAAGATTTTAAGTCATAGTGGCAATTCTTTTTACTGCAGTGGATAAGACTGACATGAAACCAGTAAATCAGAATGTCAGTTCATGTTAGGTTGAGTTTTTGCTTTCTTTCAGTTAAATCACTAATGGTAGAAAGGTAAATAGAAGGGGGGTTTTAAAATTGTTGAAGAAAATTTTTCATCAATATAATTTATTTGAATTTTACATCTATGCAAATACAACTTAAAAATTCTTTGTTTAATAGATGAGAACACAGACATCGCTGAAAACCTCTATCAGAAGGTTAAAATTCTTTGCTGGGTTATGACAGGGCCTCAAAATCTAGAGAAAAAGGCCAAACACGTCAAAGCTACATGGGCCCAACGTTGTAATAAAGTATTGTTTATGAGTTCAGAAGAAGATAAAGACTTCCCTGCAGTGGGATTAAAAACCAGAGAAGGCAGAGACCAACTATACTGGAAAACAATTAAAGCTTTTCAGTATGTTCATGATCATTATTTAGAAGATGCTGATTGGTTTATGAAAGCAGATGATGATACATATGTTATCCTGGAAAATTTGAGATGGCTTCTCTCAAAATACAACCCTGAAGAACCCATTTACTTTGGGAGAAGATTTAAGCCCTATGTAAAGCAGGGCTACATGAGTGGAGGAGCCGGATATGTTCTGAGCAAAGAAGCCTTGAAGAGATTTGTTGATGCATTTAAAACAGACAAATGTACACATAGTTCCTCCATCGAAGACTTAGCATTGGGCAGATGCATGGAAATTATAAATGTAGAAGCGGGAGATTCCAGAGATACCATTGGAAAAGAAACTTTTCATCCCTTTGTACCAGAACACCACTTAATCAGGGGTTATCTACCTAGAACCTTTTGGTACTGGAATTATAACTATTATCCTCCTATAGAGGTAAGTTTAGAAATTTTATTACTGTATAAATACTTAGACTGGTTTTTGTTTACTTAAAAACTAGCAAATGTTTCTTTAGCATCGATAACTAAGAATCCTCTTTACTCCTTTTATATAGAGTGGTAATGTATAACAAAATAGATGAGAACATGAGTATCAGCAGTAGTAATTCAGTAAATATTGCTACTATTACCTACTGTTTATTGCCTGTGTCAGGCACTAAAAATACAGCAGTAAATATGGCCAAGCTCCAGTTCTTGTGAACCTTATAATAGTATATTATGAACCTTACATTCTGGATATAGAGACATACAGTAAACAGGTAGACTAGTAAAGATAAAATATGATTTTAGGTTGTGGTAAGTGCCCTAGAGTAAAATAAGGCCAAGTGAGGGGATAGAGAATGAGTGGAGTGGGGCACCCCAGTTTGGATGATTAAGGAAGATGTCTCTAAGAGGTGACTTCTGAACAGAAATCTGAGTGAGGTTAGAGAGCAGAATGTGTGAAGAGCCTTCTGGGCTTCAGGAATGATGTGTGAAAAGACTTTGAGGTTTAGAATTCTAGGCTTCTAGAATTCAAGTCTTCACCTACTTAATAGTTAATTAACCTTGGATGGACAGAATTTGCCCAATATCTGAGCCTGATTTGCCTGATTTGTAAAATGGACCTGATCTACCTGTTTGATTCAGTTGTGATTAGAATATAGTACAGTGCCTGTCACACTGTAAGCGTAAGAAGCCTTAGCTCTAATTTGATACCATAGCCTTCATTCCTGAGGATTTTATCTAAAATACGTTATTTTATTAAATTCCTCAGCTAAATGTTTAAGAAGAATTAGTATCTTGTACCCACCAACTAGCTTTACCATATATTAATCTTTTTTGTTTGTTTGTTTGTTTGTTTAAGATTTTATTTATTTATTTGACAGGCAGAGATCACAAGTAGGCAGAGAGGCAGGCAGAGAGAGAGGGGGAAGCAAGCTCCCCGCTGAGCAGAGAGCCTGATGCGGGGCTTGACCCCAGGACCCCGGGATCATGACCTAAGCTGAAGGCAGAGGCTTTAACCCACTGAGCCACCCAGGCGCCCCTACCATATATTAATCTCTAGCCATATTTGCTTCCTTTTTTATTTTTATTTTTTTAAATTTTTTTTTAAAGATTTTATTTATTTATTTGACAGAGAGAGATCACAAGTAGGCAGAGAGGCAGGCAGAGAGAGAGGAAGGGAAGCAGGCTCCCTGCTGAGCAGCAAGCCCGATGTGGGACTTGATCCCAGGACCCTGGGATCATGACCTGAGCCGAAGGCAGCGGCTTAACCCACTGAGCCACCCAGGCGCCCCGTTGCTTCCTTTTTTAAAAGAAAAAGGTATAGATACAATTGAGGCCTGTGTACCCTCCCCAACCAAGTTTTCTTATGTCCTTCCTCAGTGTTAACCACTATCATGAATTTAATATTTGTCATTACGATGTATGTTTGTATCTTTTTTCCTACATCTTTGTGTATCCATAAATAATATATAGTATTGTTCTGTAGGTTTTTAAATAAATGAACTTATTCCATATATATCCTTGAACATTTGCCCTTTTAATACATTAAAGTTTATCCACATTAATGTATGTATGTGCTTCATTAATTTTTAGGCTTCTGAATAATCTAACATGAGCATCTATAATTTATCAATTCACCTACTGATACACATGTAGTAGGTTGTTTCCAGCTCATCACTGTTATGAGCATTGCAGCAGTGAGTGACTGACTGAAGGACATCAGGAGTCATGAAACCTAGCTTTTAGATTCAGATCTGTTACTGATTAATAATGCATGTAGGCAAGTCATTGGTACTCTATGCCTTCTTTTTTCTGGCCCTAACATACAAATAATACACTCATGCTAGCATTCTCATCTTCATAAGCCAGTGTTTGCAAATCATTATCTAGGATAGTGGTTCTCAACTGTGGACTTTTTGCCTCCTAGAGGACATTTGGCAAAATCTGGAGATATTTTTGGTTGTTAACTGGGAGACTGGCATTGGGTGGAGGTTGTTACTGGCATCTAGTGGATAGAAATCCTCAAGATTGTAAACCCACTAGATGCTAAACATCTCACAATGCACAGGACGGCTTCCCACAATAAAGAATTGATTGGCCTAAAATGTCAGTAACACTGAGGTTAAGAAACATGGACCTAGAACTTTTTTTTTTTTTTTAATTTTTTTTTTTTTTTTTTTTTTTATTTGACAGACAGCGATCACAAGTAGGCAGAGAGACAGGCAGAGAGAGAGGAAGGGAAGCAGGAGCAGGCTCCCGGCCAAGCAGAGAGCCCGATGCGGGGCTCGATCCCAGGACCCTGGGATCATGACCTGAGCTGAAGGCAGAGGCTTTAACCCACTGAGCCACCCAGGCGCCCCTGGACCTAGAACTTTTGACCCAATATTTAGACACTCAGCTTTAAAAGGAAATGTTGAGGCACATCACAACTGCTTCTGATATCAATCAGAATGTTCTTGGTACTTACTCAGACATAATAATTCCTTACAGTAATTCTGCATTTAATAGATGACAAAACTGAGGCTCAGAAAATTCAAGTAATTTGTCCTGATAAATATTCTAGGCAATTTTACAAACCATGCTGATTATAAACTCTTGTGGTTTCTATCATGGGTTCCCTTCCCCTCCATGATTAATGTGATATGTGTCCCAAAGGGTTGGGGGTTGAACTGAGGGATGTTACAATAAATATTCTGCTGTTGGGATAAAATTCCACTTTAATAAATAAACAGTTTAAAGTTCAGTTCTATATAATGTGTCCATTTGAAACCTTATGCTAGGATTTTATTGCTCTTGTGGATGCAACAATTTCCTAGACTGTAAAACAGATGTATTCCTAAGTCTACTTTGTGATAGTCTATTTTTGTTTTGTTCTCATGAGGTACTACTCTGAAATTTTTTTAAATGATTTTATTTATTCATTAGACTGCACAAGCTGAGGGGAGCACCAGAGGGAGAAGCAGACTCCCGGCTGAGCAGGGAGCGCAGTGCGGGGCTTGATTCTAGAACTCTGGGGTCATGGCCAGAGCCAAAAGCAGAGTAACGGACTGAGCTACCCAAGCACCCCTGAATTTTTTTTTTTAATGTAAACTTTTCTTAGTATAATCTGACCATTCCTAGATTACTTGAGCCCTTCCCTTCTTAATGCTGTACATTGCCATATAAAAATATATCTAAACTTAAGAACATTACAAATACATATAACAAAGACACCTAAATGAATGTAAGATTTTAATAAGAGTATCTGCTACAGACGGTAATAGCAAAGGGACATCATAATTGTCACTATTTTGTAACCAGTAAAATACCCTTCTTTCCTTTAAGAGTGCTACTACCCACAATTCCTACCTACAGATAGGGTGTACCTAACAGTATACTTTATATGAACAAAATAAATATTTCTGTGATACATCAAATTGTGGTAGTTTTTAAAATGGTTGCAAGATTTATGTTCTTTCTATAAAAATTTATTCAGTTATATTGAAGACAATAAAATAGACTTGGAAGAACCAAAATTGACCCAGCTTCCTAATTATTGCTTCTTCTCTCCCAGGAGTGTTCGATACAAACACATGTGAAATCTAATTTCTTTTATTACTCATCCATCATTTAATAAATTTTCTTCTCCGTAAGTGAGTTACTATTTTCAGAGTTATCCTAAATCTCCTACATATACTTTTGCTCTGTAGTGATCACTGAAAACACAGTGTGGAAAATGTTTATTTTAGCAAGTCAATGTGTGAGATATACAGCTGATCAGAGACTTATGTTCTTAAGTTGGGTTTAGAACTTAATCTTCATGCATTTCCCTTTTCACACCGCCTTCTCACTTCCCTAAAAGTGATTTATTCCCTAGGACTAAAAGTCTCTTCCCTAGGAAGAGACTTTTCACCAGAGAATTTGTAATCAGTCTTAATACAGAGGATTTAAAATAGTGTATATGTGTGTAATAGTCTATATGTAATAGTGTATATACATACACATGCACATATATGTACAGATATAGACACATATATACACACAGATCTACACATATATACATGTGCCCCATATGTGAAATTACCTTTTTTATAGGTCAGAAATGATCAAATAGGATTTATTCTGTTTTTCAATTCTGATTACATTAACTATAACCCATCTGAAACTTACTGATACATGGTCAAAATTGAGAGCTCCAGATTTTTCCAAATTGTTAACTGATCTTTCCAGTACCATTTTTTAACTAAGTCTTATTTTCAGTAGTGATTTAAAATAATCTCCTTTATCATATACTGTAGCGTTACTTACAGTAGGGTTGGTATCTGGTATTTCAGTTCTGTTCCATCATCCTATTTGGTTTTGCCTCAGCACCATATTGTCTTGAACCCTGTAGCTTTACTGAATTTTGAAATTATTACTCTAAGAGTGTATATTCCTCTACTTTATATCTCTTTTTTTCAAATTGTTTTGGTAACACTAATGCCTTTATGTTTATGTATTTATCCATTTAGGGACAATAGATATCTTTGCCTGGGATTTTTAAATTTTATTTTAGGTCCCTTAGTAAAGCTTTATAGTTTTCTCCAGATTTTATTTCTTCTTAAGTATCTCCCTATGTTTTTAATATTTTTGTTACTATTTTTCTTGGGCTTTTTTTTTTTAAAGCTTTTTAACTGGAATATATGAAAGCTATTGTTTCTTTTTTTTTTTTTTAAGATTTTATTTATTTATTTGACAGGCAGAGATCACAGGTAGGTGGAGAGGCAGGCAGAGAGGAGGAAGCAGGCTCCCTGCTGAGCAGAGAGCCCGACGTGGGGCTCGATCCCAGGACCCTGGGATCATGACCTGAGCCAAAGGCAGAGGTCTTAACCACTGAGCCACCCAGGCGTCCCAGCTGTTGTTTCTTAAAAGCATCTTTTTTTTTTCTTTTTAAAGATTTTATTGATTTATTCAACAGAGAGAGAGAGAGAGATCACAAGTAGGCAGAGAAGCAGGCAGAGAGAGAGGGGGAA